CTTCAATGCCGCGCGGCGCTGCGCAGACTTCGAAGCCGTCTGCCCCCCAGCCACAGATGCCGGCGCCCTCAATGCCACCAGCACCAGCGCCGCGCCGGCGGCGGCACCCGCGGCGCCGCAGCGGTTGTTCACGCAGCCTGCGCCTGGCACATTCGTCCCGTACGAGCCGCCCGCCTCCCCACCTGCCGCGTATGCGGCCCCTGATCTTTACTACTTCGACGGCGCCAACTACCGGCCATGGCAGCAGCAGCTGACGCTCCCCCCCGTGCCGCCGGCGCCCGCGGCGCAGCCGGCCACCTCGTCACGCGGCCCGCCGCCCCCGGGCGCGCCCGGCGGGCCGCCGCTGTACGAGGAGACCTCTCAAGGCATGTTCTCCCGCTGGGCGCCGCCGGCCGGCGCGGCGGTCGGGTCGCAGCCCAATGTGACGCTGTACCTGCGCAACGAGACCACTGGTGTCTTCCAGGTCCTCTTCGACCCTGCCCTGGCCGTTGCCGCGCACAACAGCAACTCCACCGGCGCTCCCTCCAACGCCGCCGAAGACGCCGCCGACCGCAGCGGCGGCGCGCCGGCGGCGCCGGGCGGCAACGCGACGAGCAGCAACGGCAGTGAGGCGACAGCGTGGAACCCGTACGGTACGCCGACGCCCACGCCACAGCTCTATACTCTCGACGCATCCAAGGGGCAGTACACTCCGTACACCATTGACCCCAAGGCTGACTTTCTGCCCAGGCGAGCGCTACGTGCTGCAAGCTTCCAGGGCCCGCCTGAGGGAGGGCCGGCGCACGTCCCAATGCACCATCTGTGAACACCACCAAACTCAAACCTGCCTCCGCTGCCACCTGAAAACCGTGCGCACGGCTGCCTACATCACATGCTCTGACACCCATCACCTGATCAAGTCACGACTGATCTGACTCCAACCTCTGATCTTGCACCCACCCCCTGATCTTCCCGGAGTGCGTGCTGTCAGCTCTGCACTCACCTAACCTTATTACACCCCTCCGACTCCCTGCAGGCTCTACGTGCGTGATGCGGCCAGCAGCGCCGAGCGCGGGCAAGAGGCGTTCAAGGAGTGAGCAATGGCGGCAATGTGACATGATGATGCGGTTTGGGCTGCTGGATTGCAACGTCAAGTATTCACATGCACCCCTGACTTGCGATGGATGAGCATGGGGTATTCACACACACACAAACACACATACACAAACACACACACACAAACACACACACAGCATACAATCACACACAGCATAACAACAAGCGTCCACGCGCGTCAAATGTGTGTGGCCAGCATACATGGCTACTGCAGTCGCAAGCATATCTGGTTTGCAAGTCACTTCTTCAAATCACCCTCCCCTCAAACCAACCTCCCCTCCGTGCCCGGCGTTCCCCGCCCTCCCATCAACCCCAGGTACTACCCAGTCCCTGGGCAGCTCTTCTGGGTGCCCTCCCAAGCCTCAAAGGCCCCCCTCGAGACAGCCGTGGCCCTGAGGCTTGTGCCCTGCCTGCCGCTCGGCTCCAAGCCCACCCAGCCCCTCGGCCGCGACGTCGGCGTACTGCCGGCCTGCCCCGGCAATGCGTTCTGGCAGGATGGGCACTACCTCTTCACAGCACGCACCGCGGCGCGGCAGGTGAGCCGGCCCGCCGGGGCTCCCGTGTTTTTGCAGATGCGTGCGTGTGCGCCTGCGCAGCGGGCGGGATTGCCGAGGTGGTGGATTGCGCTGCTGTGATGCGTCCATCCGGCAGCTGAATGCGAGTGGAGACACGAAAAAGGCAAATCCAGCACTCAGTCACGATCTGCCGACCATTTGATTTACTGCCACTTGGCTTATGCGAATGTTTGCGTCTAAAACTACTCTCCCCTTCTCTCCTCATAGGTCGGCGCCTCCGCCCCTGCGAGCGAGCCCGCATTGCCTTCTGCCGCGAACCCGCTGTCGCCTTCCCCCACCCAGCCACAGTCAGCGAGCAACACCAGCGACGTAGCCGCAGTGCCGGAGAGTGGGGGCCCGTTCCTGCCGCGCGCCCATGCAGGCAACGCTGCAGCAGCACCAGAGGGCTCCGCGCCGCCGGCGGCCACAGGGAGCGGCGCTTCTCCCCAGCAGCCCAGTGTCAGCGTCAGCGTCGACGTGGGTACCCCAAGCTCTCCAAACGATGACGCCGACGCAGAAGACTGGTTGTCTTCGCAGCCCCGCCGGTTCCCTGGCGCAGGGGCAGGGGCGTTCGGGGGCTTCTCGATGCCCCCGATGCCTTGGTATGGCCCGCCTCCTGCGCCGGAGGGCTTCGTCATGGCGGAGGGAAACCAGTTTGCTGGCCAGGTTCCCGGCAGCTTCCCCACTGCCTCGCTGTTCAGCGGGCAGGACGGGCTCCTGGGCATGGGTGCTCTGTTTGGCAAGGTCCTCGGGAAGGGGTTTGCCGGCAAGGGCGCGTTTGGCAAGGGCTTCGAGGGCGGCGTCCCCGGCGCGGCGAGCGGCGGGCCGGCCGCCCCGCCCGGCCAAGCCCGCGCGCCGGCCGGCGCGCGCACCGCCGCCGGCGGCCTTGGCGGCAGCTTTGTTGGCAAGGGAATCGCAGGCTCCAGCTACGCGGGCGACGACTTTGTCAGCAGCAGCCTCGCTCTCCCGGGCTTCAGCGGCACTAGTTACGCCGGTGACGACCGGGTGACCAGCAGCTTCTCGCTGCCCGGCCTGTCCGGCACCAGCTGGGCCGGCCCCGGCCTGAATGTTGGCGCCACGCTCAACGGCAATGGCTGGTCGTGGCCGCCGGCCGCGCCAGCCGACAACGGGTACACCTGCCCCGACTGCCGGCCCGCCGTCACCGCGTTCACGCGGCTGGTCAACGCCAGCGTGGCCGGTTACACCTACGACGAGGCGTCCCTGGAGGACTTTTGCGAGGCGTACTACGAGGCCACCGGTGACGAGTGAGTGACACTGGGTTACCTTCCTAGCCACCTGGCGGCGGATGGCAACCCAAAGATGTTATTGGTTTGCCAACAGCACGTCGCGCCACGGCCTTTTCAACAGGGGAGATACTTACTGCCAGGCGGCCGCTGCTGCACTGCACATGGCGCCGTCCCGCATCCATGTTGCATTTTGCTGGCGTTGTTCATACCTCATTGCCAACCCCACCCACCTTCCCCCGAGCAGCAGCGACTGGAGCGCAAGCGGCGACGACGGCGCCGCCGCTGGCGCCGGCGCCGCCCCAACTGCGGCCCCCGCCGACGCCTGCGCGGCCTTCTCGCCGTTCGCCTGCCCCGCCGACAAAGGCTGCGTCGCCGCCAACCCCTGCACTGTCCGCCAGGAGCGCCGCCCCGACCAGGCACTGTGCTCCTTCCTCTCTGCCGGCGCCGCCGCCTGCTCCCTCGCGCCGGAGTGCGCGTGGCTGCCCGACGCGCTCGCGGCAGAGGGGCCGAGGGCGCAGCACTGCGTTGATGCATACCTGGCAGTCCTCGACCAGGGCCCCGGGGCCGTGGACGGGCCCGCTGCCTACTGCAGGGCGACCCAGGGGGAGGACTGCTCCGAGCTGTGCCTGGCGCTGCTGGGGACGGGCCTGGACTCCCTGCTGTCGCCGCTGCTGCCGGGTGCGCGGGGTTTGGGCGTGTGTGTGTGTGTGGGGGGAGGTTTGGGTTTAGGGGCGGGGCCTGGGGCTGTGAAAGGAGGGAGGACTCCAGGGATGCCGCCTTTGTGGGCAGCTCTGGGCTCACATCACTGTTGCAAGCAGGATCGCCGGATGAAAAGTGTGAGATTGGAGTACTCATTCACCCTTTCTGCTGCACTGCACACGCAAAGTACCACACGCACGAATAGACAAGCGCAGAATCACACATGCACACCCCAATGCGCGCACACGTCGACCACCCTCAGGCCTCTGGCCCTGCGACGCCTGCGCGACCTGCCTGCGCGGGGCCAACGCGAGCCTGGCGCTCATCGCCGGGACCAACAGCAGCGCTGACGCAGCCCTGGCCGTCTACAACCAGTGCCGCGCCCAGCTGTCCGGCACCCCGCTCTCCGCGGATCAGCTGGCAAAGGTGTGTTCCGGCGGCAAGGCCCGAATCTGGGTCAACGCTGCATTTTCCCCCGCATGTTGTTCAGCAAGCAAAGTGAACGCTGTGCCCTGCCTGTGTTGAAACAAGCTGCCAGCAATACCTGGGCAGGGATCCACATCCCCAGCCCTGCCAAGAAAGCCGACCTTACGTCCATTTGGACCAACCCCTGCCCCCGGTGCATAACCCCCCCAGGGCAAGTGCAAGGCCAAGGTCGAGCTCAAGTGCGCCTCTGCCGGCCGCAGGAACACATGCATCCTCAACCAGGACTGCACCTACGAGTGAGCGGGCCGACGGTGACGTCAGCGAGGCAGACGGGGACGTCAGCAGGGAACCCTGCGTGGCCGGGCCCGTTGGCTGCAGGAGCCCGCGCGCGCAGCTTACGCCTCACTGCTGGTTCCCAGGCGAGCTATTATTATGATTGCGTCGGCGAATGTAGCCCCAACATTCACAAGACATGCCTTGCGGCGGCTCCGGCTCCGTTGCAATCCCGCTCGCCCACTGCCTCTTACTGCCAACCAGCTTCCTGGGCAAGTGCACATCAATGGACGACGCCTACTGCCGGACCGTCGTGTGGGAGCCGCAGCGCACCGTCTGCAAGGCGCGCGCCGTGTGCCGCCAGGTCGCGTCGCAGCCCGCGGCGTCCACCGCCGAGGGCGCGTGCGCGCTGACTGGCCTGTGCCCCGAGCAGTCCGAGGGCGCCGCCGCCAACGCGACGGCAACGGCCACCTGCGATGCGTGCGTCCGTCGCGCGAGGCGGGAGCTCTCTGCGCTCCCAGGCGGCGACGTCTGCGCCGCTGCCGCGGCGGGCACCGGGGCGGGCGCGCCCCCGCTTGAGGGCCCGGGTGGCAGCCTGGACGGCTGCCTGGGCGTGGTGGCATCGCTGCAGCGCGGCGCGGACGACTGCCGGGACGTGGAGGCCAATTGGGGCCTTTTCCTGGCCGATCTCGAGAGCCCTGGGGAGGGTGCACCGTTCTCGGCCTTCTGCCACCAGATCAACGCTACAGGTGGGCGGGGACGCCGCGTTGGCTGTGCTGCTCGCACCTGCGCCGTCTTCCCTTCTTGGGTAGGCGTGTGTCAGGCTTGCCTGCATGCCAGATGCAAATCCGCTTCTGCCAATCAGTTCTTGCCGACGGATCAAAAAATGGCGCTCGTCGCCATTCCCATACATCAACCGCAACCACTGCCGCGCGATGGCACCGCAGCCACCTGCGACACGCGGCGGCGCGCCGGCGAGCTCATGGGCTCCTTCTTCTCGGCCGACGGCCCCTACGAGGCCTGCGCGGCGTCCTCCCCCCTGGCGCGAGACCTAATGGCGGCCGGCCGCCTGCCGCGGAGCGCGGACGGCCTGCACGCCTTCTGCGTGGAGCTGGCCGGCGCCGCGGACGATGCGGATGACATCGGCACGGCCCTGGACGTGAGCCGCGGCGGCCTCGCAGCCTTCCGTTTAGTCTTATGAGCCGCGGCCCCCGCCTCGCAGCGCCGCGCTGGTGGTGGGTGCCGCAGCGTCAGCAAGGGCGAGGGCGATGGACAGGGCGGATTGCTGCGGCAGGTGGGGAGGTTCAAGGTATGAAACCTTGCTTAATTTTGTGCCCAACCCCCTGCCTCCTGCGGTCCCAACCCTCCCCGCCAGGCGGTGAGGGACCTGTTCACTGGCGGAGCCCTCTGTGATAGCTCCAGCGACTCGTGCTGCCCGCCATCCGGCATCACACCAACCCCCGACGTGTGAGTGCATTGTTTGGGAGCATATTCAGACTGCCGTCTTGCTTCCCGTAATGATGGCGCCGTCGGCCGATGCTGCATCGGGCCTTTGCTTACCAGTGCTCATTATCGCATGTGAACGATGCGATGCTGGTGACACGTTTGAAATGACGTTGGTGGTATGCTTGCAAGGGTGTTGGGGCCCTGGCTGGCATGCAATTCGCGCTTAAGCGTGGCCACAACCTCGGACCTGCTGCCCTTGCGCTCTTGATTCGCAGGTGCGAGGGCCAGTCAACGCCCTGCCAGGCCGGCACTACTTGCAAGGTCACCCAGGACCCATGCAACGAAGCGGCCAAGGCCAGCTTCTCGCGCAGATGTGAGGATGCTGTTGCAATTTGCATCGGCCAATCATGATCATTGCTTGTGCACCGAGCGGCTGGGCTGTGCAGGGGGGGCTGGAAACCTGGCATGTTGCGTCCGCAGGATGCCGTTACTTGCCGCAGCTGGCTTAAGAGGAAGCGTTGGGCCGCGCACAGCCGAAAACCCTGAACCCTGAACCCCCAAACCCTGAACCCTCAACCTCGCCCAAACCCCACAGCCAGCACGAACGCAACCTGCGAGCCCGATACCTTTGTCGGCAACGCGACCTGCGCCTTCTTCCCCGCCAGCCCCGACCTCGCCAGCCGCGCCATCGCGGTGCTCCCGACACAGCAGCGCCCCGCTTCTGCCAATGCCAGCGGCGGCGCTGACGTCATCACCGGGATCTGCTACACACCGACCCTCTGGGACGCCTGCGCGCCGGGCGCAGCCTGCAGCTTCCCTTGGGCTGGCTCTGACCTCTGTAAGCCCATCCCAACATGCAGCCTGCCGCCATCCACCGGAAGCGGCCCGGGCTGTGGCGCGGGGGATGACAGCTGCTGCATTGCATCTGAGGGTGCCACGTTCTCGGAAGACGAGGAGGATCTGTGCCTCATCAACTTTGGTGAGTGGCGGTCTGACCGAGCGAAAGTGCAGCAGGACTACTGTGGGAACCGGCCCAGCGAGCCTTCCGGGCGTCGATGCGTGTTTCTGGAAACAAGCACAATGCAATGACGTGTGCCGCACGATGAATGGACACGGCGCGGGTGCAGCAACTGGTCTCATCATCCCACCCACCACGTCGCTCCGACGCACCTGCCCACCGCCGACAGGCCCCGCCGGCAAGGGCTGCGCCGTGCGCCCGCGCTGCGCCATGGTCCGCGACCCCTGCCGCGCCCACGCCACCCCTTGGGCCTGCTCTGCCGACCCTACGTGCCAGTACACCGCCCGCGACCCCGCCTCGCCCTTTGGCGGCCGCGCGTGCGCGACCGTCCCCGCCCTCGACAAGTGCCGCGCGGCGGCCGTCGGCGAGTGCTGGCGTGAGGGTCCTGCCTGCGCGGTCGTCGACAGATGCGTCGCCAGCGACTGCGCGGACAGCGACACGTGCTGCCCCTTCCAGGACGACCCGGCCGGCTGCGCGCGCGCGTTCCCGGCCTGCCAAACCGACGTCGGCTGCCGCCCGAGGGTGGACGCGTGCGCGGCGGCTATCGGCAACGCGACAGCGTGCGCGACGCTGCCTTACTGCAGGTGGGGCCAGGGCGGCCGCTCCGATCTGTTCCCGAGTGCTTGTGTCACCCCTTTTGAAATGGTTCCAAGGGCATGCAGAGTGTCACAGGGGACGTCGGCAGTGAGACTTGGGTCGGCCCCGTCAGTCCCCTCCCTTCCTGGCTTGCTGCCCCCCCTTGCTCCTTCTCTCTCCCTGCCTCTCTCTCTCACTCACGCACACTCTTTCTCTCGTACTCTCTCTTACTCCCTTTGACCGTCTCACACACACTTGCAAACACATACATACACATACACACACACGCACACACAAACACACACATGTGCTCACACATACAAGAACAAATCACCGCTCCCCATGCTTCCCCTTCCCCACCGCAAACCACCGCGCAGCTGGGACGCCTTCAAGGGCTGCTCCCTGGACGCGTCCAAGCACGCGTGCGCGGCCCTCGACATAGACCTCTGCCGCGGCAGCGCGGACTGCACGCCAGACTTCCAGTGCCTGGTGCGCACGATCCCGGTCACACGCCCCACACACAAGCGCCCCGCGTGTCGCGTCCGCCGCCGGCCAAGGTCATCAGCGTCAGGGTGACCGCCGCGCTCTGCAGCACACCAGCACTGCTCTGTCTGGACACGGCTACCAGCTGCGTGACGGATTCGCGCCGCCCTTCCTGCCCAATGCCTGCCCCCCTTCGCCGACGCGGACAGGACACATGCAAGATGTGCGGCGACTGCGTGGCCGCGGCGTACTCCGCCGTGTCGTCCCCAGCCAACGAGGCCTTCCTCAAAGACCCCGGGAACGCCACCCTCGGCATTGCACTCCTGGAGGTGGGGGCCGCTGTTTTTGACCTGTTGTGGCGTCTCATGCAACCGCCTGCTTCTGGAGACGCGTCAGCCAGGCGCACGGGATAGACGGGGAGGAGGGGAATGGAGGGATGGTCTGGGGATGTAAACGCCAGCAATCGTGGTGCTGGAGTCAGCGTGCCATGGGCTCGGGGTGGGCTTGCCCGCGGTGGCCCTTGGGATCAGCGCGCGGGCCCGGGACCTGGAGGGCTGCCCGCATGCAGAATTGCGGAATGACTGGTCTCGACCGCGTGATGCCGTGGCCGCAGAGGCTGCCTCGCTGATCTCTGATATTCAACTGCACAGCGTATCACGATTCGATCGGACCCCACGTCTCCCGACCTGTTGCGCTGCGCTTGCCGCGCTGCCGCAGGACGCCTGCGCGCGCAAACTGTTTGATCCCGAGGGCTGCGCCGCCGCCCTCGCCGCCGTCAAGCGCCCCGGCGGCGCCACGACGGCCCTCCGCCCTGGCGCGCTCTGCACGCTCCTGGGCTCCTGCCCCCTTGGCAGCTGCAACATCACCGACCCCTCCGCCCGCCCGGCCGGCGCCGCCGCGCCCCTGGACCGCTGCACGGCCTCCGGCACGGCCGCGGGCGCGCTGCCGCCAGGCACCAACCGCCCCGGCGCGCGCCCCCCGGCGCCGCTGTGCATGGGCACCGCGGACTGCGCCGGGAACGCCTCGGTCTGCGAGTACCCCGGCACTGACTGCGCCTTCAAGACGTGCGACCCTGAGACCGGGGCGGACGCGTGTGTGGCCACCGGGACCTGCCAGGATCCGTGCCAGACGCCGTCGGCGCTGGCGCGCCTGGCGGCCGGCAGCGCGGCCGCACCACCCTGCAAGAGCGCCTTGGGTGGGTGGTTGGGGGGGCCATGGAGCTGTGGCTTGGCTCTGGCGCGTTGCTGCTCCGCCGTGCTTGCTGTTGCCGCAACCCGCATCACACTGACCGCCACTAGCAAACACTCCACCACCTCCAGCGCACCGCCCCACCCACGCGTCCGCAGACTGCCTGCCCGGCGTCGAGTGCCGCCCCTCGCTGCCCGACTGCCGCCGCGCGGTGTGCGCCGGCGGCGTCGAGGCGACCGAGCCATGCGGCGACATCTGCTGGCCGCGGGCCCCGCTCATGATCGGCGCCTCGGTCGCGCGCGACGGCACGCTCCAGGTGCGGCCCCTCTGCTCGCTGCTGACGACGAATGAAAGCCTCGATCAGGCCGTGTCTGCGCCGAGCTTGTCTGGCTTGTGCACAGCTCTGGGGCGGGCGCAGCACTAGATGTTCAAATGTAGGCGACCCCTGTCGTCCTCTATAGTCAGGCGTGGCCAAAGCCCACACACACACACACGCACGCACGCACGCACGCACACACAAAACTCTCACACACATGCGTACACACACACACACACACACGCACACACAACGCGCCCCTCAAACCATCAACCCCGACCCATACCCTCTTCACGCCTCAACCCTCAGGTCCAGCTGAACGAGGCCGCCCTCACCGCCAGCAGCGCCTGCGCCCTCATATTCGACGGCCCCACCTCCCAGCTCCTCGGCCAGTGGGCACTCTGCGAAGCCTTGGGCAGCACGCTGTCGATTGTGCTCCTTGGAACCGTCGACCTGGTCCCAGGCGCGAGCGTCATCGCCCTCGACCCCGAGCAGTCGTGGCTCGTGCCCGCCCTCGAGCCGGCCACCGCGTTCCTCGGGTCGCTGCGCCTGCCCGCGACGCTCTGCGAGGCCCCGGACTGCCCGCCGCCGCCGGCGACGCTGGACGGGCTGCTGGACTTGGTGATCGGCGCCTGCCCCGGCGACGACGACGCGGCAGAGGTCGTGCTGGCCGACGCTGGCGCATCAGCCACTGGGCTGGCCGGCAAGCTGACCTCGGTCAAATGGAGCCTCGTTCAAGGCAGTGACCCGCTGCTTGCAGAGCTGATCGCGGACGCAAACGCCGAGAGGGTGCCGCTGTCGCGCTGGGCCGGCGCGTACGGCGACGACGCAAAGGGTGGCTGCTACGGGGGTTACGGCGGTTACGGTGGTTATGGTAGTTATGGTTATGGCAGCTATGGCAGTTATGGTGGTTACGGCGGATATGGCGGCTGCGGCGGTGGCGGCCCTGGCGAGCTGCTGTGAGTTCAAAAGAAGGGAGCATGTGGGATGAGGGAGGCGCCTGCACTCTGGATCGTCGGCAGTGTACTCTAAACTTGGAGGCTGCCTCGTGCTCTTGATGTCATTTCTTGTCTGCATGCCTTGCCATCAAGTTACACATGCTGTGCACCACCGCCGCCGCCGCTCCTCGCCGCAGGCTCCCGCCGCTGGTGCTCACCGCCACCTTGGGCCAACTGCGTTCTGTCGCCCCGGGCACGTACACCATCGGCATAACCCTCACCAACATCTTTGACGTGGCAGCATCTGCCAACCTCACCTTCACCATCTCGCTCGCGTCACCGGACGCGCCGCCGGCCTTCAGCCTCATCAGCGGCGCGGCGTCGTTCGCGCCGTCTCAGAGCGTAACCATCGCCGCCAGGTGGGCGGCCCACCTGTCAACCCCCCGCTGTCACCAACTGAACACGCAGGATGCATGAAAGACTTCGGCACGCCCGACGTGCGTGCGCGGCCGCGGCTGAAGCCCTGAAATGTGCACTCTGACCAGCCGTCCTGCCGTTGCACCCGACCTCGCCGCGACGCCCCTCTCCTTGTACCTTGCTTCAGGTTGGCGCCCAGCAGCTGTCCAACAGCTGCCGCCGGCCCTGTGACCTGGTCCTGGTCCTCGGACGTCCCAACCCTCGATTTGTCGGGCATGACGTCAGCCACCCTTTACATCGGCGCCGGCGTGCCGGGCCTCTTGGCTGGCGAGGTGCGCAAGGCGTGCAATCATGTTGTTTCAAACTTGCTGCATGGCTCTCACGCACTCTAAGAACTGCGCTTAGGGGGTGAGAATTTGGGGTGAGGTACCAAGTCTTTACCTTGGCGTTTTGCCATCCAACCAATGCGCATGATCACCTTGTCCGCTACAATCCCTGCAGCTTCATTTGCGCCCCGCCACACCCACCGCCCCGCAGCTCTACACCTTCAAAGCGACCGCCCGCTACGGCAACGCCACAGCCTCTTCCTCCGACACCCTCTCTCTGCTCGCCACTGCTTCCACGCTCGTCGCGAGCCTGGAGGGGCCCTCCGGCGCCGTGCGCGCCGACGGGGAAGCCACCTTCAGCGCGGCGGGCAGCTACGACCCAGATGACCCGGACAGCGCCCTGGGGGCTCTGGCGTTTGTGTGGTCGTGCTCAGTCTCCGCCACGGGCGGGCCCTGCTTTGACGGGTGCGCCCCTTGGCAGGAAGCTGCATTTCTGTGGCTGTCATGCTTGGGTGGCCTAATGACTCCTCAGTTGCTTGCCACACAGGCGCTATTCACATCGGAGTAAATAGCACACACAATATGCACATTCACAGGAGCAGTTGCTGGATTCTTGCTGCTCCCTGGATTCTGCGTTTGCAATCATTCAAGACGTCATTCGAGTTTATTATATTACAACCTCTGTCCCCCCCCAGGTCCTACCGAGGCGTCCAAGACGGCCCCACATGGACCATCGACCTCGGCCGCCTGTCGCCAGGCACCGACTACACCGTCGCGGTCACCGCTGTCAAGGGCAGCGCCTCCCCCAACAGCGCCGGCGATGATGAAGATGACGACGACGCGCAGGCCGCAGACGCGCCCGCCGCGCCGCCGCGCAGCGCGTCCGCGTCGCTGCGCCTTGCGCCGACGGACGCGGCCGTGCCGACCGCGACCATCCGGCGGTCCTGCGGCGCCGAGGAGGCAGGGCCCGGCGGGCGCGCGGCGCCGCGGCAGTGCCCGGCGCGCCACAACCCTACGGAACCGCTGACGCTGGAGGCGGCGTTCGAGATCGGGTGGGTCCTGCGGCGCGGCCGCGCAGCATGGCAGCGCAGGGTCGCTCTGGATTCAAGTGCTTTTATTCATCAATACTGCATTGTTACAAAAAAGGCCATCTGCTGGTGTGGCTGCGCTATGCCGGTAATCGGGATTCAGGCTGTTAGCCTTGACGGGCCTGGCGCCATCTGCCTGTGCACCTGCAGCCCGCGCACCGCCCCGCTTCATGCAGTTGCACCGCAATGCAACCCCCCAACCCTTGCACCGCCAGGCCGGCTGTGGCGTCGATGCTGTGGGCGTTTGACCCGTCGCACCCGCTGGGCGGGCTCCTGCTGTCGGACGACACGACTCTGGGCGGCACCGACAAGCCCACGCTGACCGTGCGCCCTGAGGGCCTGCCGAGCGCGGGGTCTGTGTCGTTCCTCCTCACGCTGCTCGGCAAGGTGAGAGGGTGCAATGAGGGCCGTGGAGGTGCGGCAAGCGGCGGATGCGTTGTGCGGAGACAGGGGCTGCCAGAACATAGATAGATAGATACCGTAGGTGAAACTCATCAAGCCAGTTGCTAGGCCGTATCATGAGCGTCTGACTGCAAATGTTGATAGGTATTCAAAACCCTGACCCTTTCAAGCCACGCACCTCAGCCATCCGCCGCACAACTCACAGACGGGCCTGCCGCTTCCACACGCTGCCCGCGTTCCTTGAAACAGGACGGAACCTCTGGCACGTCCACCCTGACGGTCGACCTCAACAGCGCCCCCGTCTGCACGCTCGCCGGCGGCTCCGGCTGCGCCGGCGTGCTGCCCGCGCCGTTCTCCTTCCCCCTGGCGGCCGCGTTTGACGCGTTTGGGGACGCGGCCCCGTCCTTCCCCGACTGCTCGACCACCCTGGGCGCGCCCCGCGGCGCGTGGGCCGACCCCGACGGCGACGCGCTGTCCTTTGAGTTTGGGGTGGTTGACCCGCTCACCGGCGCCCAGACCGCGCGCGCCGCGGGCCCCACGCCGGCGTTCACGTTTGACCGGCTCGTCCCCGGCACCCACAGCCTGTACATGTGCGCCATCGACGCGCTGGGCGCCCGCAGCTGCGACAGCACGGAGACCCGGGTGGCGCCGCCGGTAGCCGGCGCCTCGGACGCCGCGGTCTGGGAGCGGACGTGGGCGGACATGGCCGCCGATCTGGAGAGCAGCCTCGGAGATGCGGAGGCGGTCGCTCAGATCGGCTTCCAGATGGCCGGAATCTGCAAGTTCCTGCGGGACAGCGGCCTGCCGCTGCCGGCTCTCTTGGATGAGGACATCTTTGGCCCCGTGGACGCGACTGATTACGAACCTGAGGTCGACATCGACGGATCCGAGGGCGACAGCAACGAAGATGCCGAGGACGGCGCCGGGGCTGTCGTTGGCAGCGGCGACGGCGCCTCTACCGCCGCCGCGGCCGTCCAGCGGAAGCCCGAGGGGCACCGCAGCCGCCCCCGCGTGGCCAAGGCGCTGGTGGCCCCAGTGCCCGCGCCGACGGGCGGCCTGCCGGCGGCCCTGAGCCCGAGCAACCTTGTGAAGTCGATGGCTGCCGCGGCCGCGGGGACGGGCAGCCCCGGCGCGCTGAATGCGCTGGTGGCAGCTGCCGGGCAGCTGGCGACGGTTGCGCCGATCAACCCCGAGGCCGGGATGGCGGTGGTCAAGCTGTACAAGTGAGTAGGGGCGGGAGCGGCTGACAAGGGGCGGGCAGGAG